ATAGATAGATAGATAGATAGATAGATAGGTAGGTAGGTAGGTAGGTAGGTAGGTAGGTAGGTAGGTAGGTAGGTAGGTAGGTAGGTAGGAAGGATAGATAGATCTAATTGATTTCTGAAGTTCTTTGGAAACTTCAAATAGTCATCAAAACCGTATCTGGAGCTTCATCATCAATTAAAGGCCCCATGAAGCAGGGGACAGAGTCTTGTACAGATGACTGAACAGCACCTTTCATTGCACTTTAAAGCACAGCTTTAAAAAAAATGTACCTGTTGGGAAATTCCCTCCAAAAAACATATTAAATATTTCTTCTGGCGTTATATCTGCTTCAAATTCTCTGTAATAGTTATAGTGGTTGGGCACATTGGTATAAAAAGTATCTTCCTTTTCTCCAAACTGATCATACTGTAATCTCTTTTCAGGGTTGCTCAAAACTGCAAAAGCTGTGCCTATTGCTGTAGAGTGGAAGAGAAACATAAAGAAAACCAATCAAAAAAGAAACCCAGGTGAAACACATAACCATATTACAAAACTCCTGCAAAACATCTTTTTGTCCCACATCCAACAGAAAAGTCTAATGTTTGTATTCTATTATTTGAATATTGGGAAACGGTCATGGTAGAAGGAATAACCTGAAGAACAGGAGAAAGATAACCAAGTCAATGATTAGATAAAAGAAATCTGAGTCCCGGGCAGAAATGTAATTTGAGACTCTCTCTAGTTTTCATGAAGATTGTACCTTAGCATGACATGAACTCCTCTATAAGCCTGGGGTTCTGATATTATTTTGTATTCATTTCACATCCTTCCTGGTAGTAACTATTATTGTACTTAATACACATTCTAGTTGGAATGAGATCCCAATATAGTGCTTGCTTTACTGTTCTCTTCATTATGTATCGCCTGCCATTGTACAGCCACCTTTAGTGTCCAATGGCAACACAAATATGGAATTTCAAATCATCTTATGATCTAGATTCAGATTCAGATTAACCTGACAAGTTACATCAATCACTGGCGTCAAATGCTTAGAAAGAATTGTACGTGAGGAATATGCAAGTAGCAACTATTTCCTAAGAGGTGGCAATGTTAGAATCTTTCTTAGTGTTTCACTTAGAATTATGCAATACTACAACTGTATGTAGGAACATGTTCTAAAAATATCTTCCTGTTAGCCAACACAACATTGGAAGATCTTCAAAGTTTGCTGTGGTCCCTTTCAAGCTGTTCCACCTACCTTTGAATGCATCTGTTGCTCCTGGAGCACAATTCTTATCAGGATGAAATTTAAGGGCAAGTTTTCGGTAAGCTTTCTTTAGTTCTTCATCTTTCGCATTTCTTCCTACGCCTAGAATTTCATAGTAATTCTTACTCTCCTTTATTCTATAAAATAAGCACAATTATTTAATTTTGTAACTTTTCCCCAAACACATCTTACATATTCTTATTAATACAGAAGAATACCTTCCAATCCAGTAACATGCTTTTCTAATTTGCTTCACTGATAGAAAGGGATTCAGCTGCTCTCGAGCATCAAGTGCAATCCAATTTAAATTTACATAATGAAACATGTGTTGCACTATTGTGATGCCAGTTCCAGTGCTTTTGTACATGTGTTATCACACATGTAAGGAGCAGAACTTGGGCCACAACACTGCTTTCATAATTCTGACAAAAGCCTCTGATCCTACACATGTTTGAGCGAGAACGCTTGTCCTATGCTTCCTGGATCATGTAGCAACTTTTGGTATAATTAAGCAAGATATATTTCTGTAGTCATTGAGCCAATTGGAATCTCACATTCAGAACTCTACTACTACTATTCTTCTGACAGTAAATAGGTGGGATCTTCTTAGTATTTTATGGTATCCCCATGTTAATTAAAACTGGCATAGCTGCTGTATATATATGGATGGCTCCATTCAAAATGAAACAGGATTTCATTTCTTTGGTAAGCCATTATCTGAAGTCAGTAATGAATTATTTAATTGAAATTCTGTGTATACAAGATAACATGCCCAGCATGAACAGAACTTCCCAAATCAGGAGCTCTCCAAATGTCTTGCTCCACAATTTTCATAATTCCTAGATTTATTTAATTTAACAATTCCTAGATAATAGGATACACAGCTCAACCTATCTGTGGGCACCAGATTGGGGAATATAGATTAGTTTTATAAATTTATTCATTAAACAGGTTGCAAGCCTAACAAGTATGAATATATTCTAATTAGGCAAGTTCCTATTTACCTTTGAACTCCAAGTAACTGTTCCTTGGTGTAGGTCATGCTGCCTTCTCCAGATGTTGACTGGCTTCTTCCACTGTCACACATACGCTCCTTTTTCATTCTCATACAGTCACTACAGCCACAGCAATCAAAATTGTTTCTTACTTCCTCCAATGGACATGGATTTCTTCTGAGCTCATCAATTAATGCTGAAACAATGACAGCCTTCCTATGTATGTATATTTACCAAAGTGGATCACAAATGACATATTCAAAATACCCATGCACATATTTTATGTATGTCTGTATGTATGTCTGTATGTATGTATTCATATTCTATTTTATTGAGAGCCATTAATCTATAAAATACATACAAACACGCATAACAAAACTGAAAGTCCCTTAAAATCATGATATACCCATCTCTCCACATCTTTGTTTAAATTCTATAACTTTGCAATGATTTTTTTCAGGAAAGCTAATTACAAAGAATATTAAAAAGATATATTTTGAAATGATAACAAGCAAGGATGGTAATTCAGCAGTTCTTTAAAAAACATCACCTAAGGTTTGGATCTTTGGAAGCAGTTCACACATAACTCCGTGTGTGAATTCTGTTGGAAACCTAAGTTCTTCCTACGGTTCAGAAGGACAACTTATTATAGTACATTTCAATTCATTTCTAACATGTGGTCCAACAGCAATGCTGGCCCACTGAAGATTTTCATTAGCAATGTGGATTTAAAAAACTCATGCAACCCTATTTTTATGCTGTATTTCTAGTTGCCCTGCATGTCAGATTTCAGATTTAATTTATTTGTATGCCGTCCTTCTCCGGGAGGGACTCAGGGCGGCGAACAACTCAAAAGGGAAAAGGGGATACAAACACAATACATACAATGTACTGTTTAAAATTATATAAGTTTTTCCTTAAAATTCTACACAGTTGCATAAATTGCAATACCTTGGGTATATGCCCTTGCCCAAACTCACAATAGGTGAAAATCCCCCCCCCCCAGTTCAAAACTTTTTTTCCTTTTCCTTCATTCCATCATTCTTTTTGCATTCTACAATCTCAGAACTAAAGCTAGCTTTCATTCTCAAATCTCATCCAAGCAACACTTCTTGTTTTTACCCAACTGCATTATCCTCCTGGTCTCCAATCCTCCATCCCCTGAGACATATCCAAGAGCAAGTATGTTCATGTGTTGCAAGAAAAAAAAATGCTTTTCCAAGGCGATTGATTTTTAAACAGCAGCACAAGCTGCCGCAATCCATATGATTTTGCCCTTTGTTGGTAAACAAACATACACACCCCTAAACTAAGAAAAATTGAAAAGACCACGAAGACAAGAGGAAGACATTTACACCTTTCTATGCAAACTCACAAATTTCGCAAGGTCGATATTTTTTATACCCTTTATCTGTCATTTAGAAGCATCGCCTTGCTAAAGCGCTCTCCCTTTCCTTTCTTCCCACTTGCATTTCTCATTTCTCCCTCTGAGTAAAAAGCTGAAGCCACAATATGGGATTTGATCTGTCTGTGATGTCTCCACAAGGCTCTCCTCTCTGGGCAACCTGAGCTCTTGGAGCACCGATCTCCCTTCCCTTAATCAAATTTAAGCCTCCAATCCGGCCGTTTCCCCCGGCTCTGGCCCGCGTCATCGGCGCGGAGCCTTACCTTCGGCCCAGCGATCCCCGGGGCTCAGTCCTGCCATTTTCCCATCTGGTGGGAAGGAAGGAAGGATCCGCCAAGCAGCCGGGAGGGTCACGTGAACGCGAGCCCAGTGCAGCCTGGGCAACGTAGTCTTCGGCGTGTTCGGCAGCTGCCCCGCCCCCTCCCTCCTACCAGGGCCCAGCGCTTTTGGCGGGAAAAAGAAGCGTTTGCCCCGTTGTGAAAAGTCGCGCGAACTGCAAGGGGTGGGGGTGGGGGACGCGCGCGCCCGCGCGCTCCGTGTGTATAACTCGCAAGCGCGCGGTCTCTTCCGAAACCGAGCTGTCATTTTTCACTCTGGAGTTTCTAGAGCGTCACCCCCACTTTTTTTTTTTTGGCGCCCGTAGAGAAGAGTCGTGAAGACAGGTCTTTGCTTCCACATCCGAAGGGAGAAGAAGGGAAAAATACAAGGCGGTTATCATTTGTGGGTCAATTCAGCCGCTCGGAGGGAGCGCTCCTTTTCTCTTGCTGCGGTTAATGCACGCAGAAGCATGACGGCTTTTTATATTCCACAAGGTAGACAAAAGATTCAGGTGATTACGACTTTCAATGGCCGCGAAGGCGGTCAGGTCTGGGATTACATTTATGGCGTAAATCCTCCGGGCGATTTTTAGGTACTAAAGTAAAAAAAACAAAAAACAAAACAACCCGGAGGAAATGAAATTCGGTCAACTGCTAGGCCAGAAATACCCGCCATGACGTACTCTCAAACGCCTTTACGTTTGGCACTGACGTTTTACTGAGGGGGGTCCTTGGTGCTCTCTGAGCTGGCTTGTTTTCTTGCAGACGTTTCATTATCCCAAACTAGGCAGCGTCAAACTAGGATGTTGCCTAGTTTGGGTAACGTAACGTCTGCAATAAAACAAGCCAGTTCAGGGACCCCTTATTTCAACCCCGAGCTACAAATAGTCTCCTTTATTGATTGACAGTCTACGTCCGAAGCCTGCGCAACGGCTTCCGGCGCTTCGCCTTGCGCCGGAAGTGGTACAAAAAAAAAAGATCGGGTTGGTCGCGCAGACGCAATCACGGCGATTTGGGGCGGCTCTTTCCTCCCCCCCCTTCCCCCCGCCCCTCCTGTTGGCCTCCGCGGCGAACAGGAGCAGCGGGCGACCGCCGTCGGGTGGTCTCCGCTCTCGGAGCGAGCCGCGCTCCTCTTTTTCCTCCCCGTGTGGCTCGACTTTTAGGCCCGGGAGGACGGACTCCCCCCTCGCACTCTCCCCCCCTCTCCGCCCAGGGCGGCGGCGGCGGCGGAAGCGACGGCGGGAGCGGCGGCGGGGAGGAGCAGGCCGTGTGCGGAGAGAGCAGGTGAGTCGCGGCGCTCGGGAGGAGGAGAGCGCGGCGGCGGGAAGGCGCTTCGCTCCGGCACTCCGCGTCTCAGGAAGGTCAACGCACACACATACACCCTGTGGCTGAGGGGAGGGAAGAATAAACCATCCGTGATTAATTCTGCGTGACGTTAGTGTGTAAGAGATACATTGATGGACGAAGATGGTAGAAAACGTGTCTTATATCCCCTTTCCAATGGAGGGATATTTGTCCAGATGTTGGGCGCTAACTCCCAAGCAGCTTTCAAAGCAGCATGATGAGCGTTTCATTCCAACCTCTGGAGTCCCATTTGGTTGATCTCTGTCCTTACTCCGTAGCATCTTATCATTCCTATAAATTATCTCTTATTATCGCCCTCCGCTTTACTATGAGTGGAAATGAGTTTTGTATGATTATTGCACAGATACGTTTGAAAGTTGCAGATTATCAGGACATCTGGGTAAGCAGAGTACAAAGGCCATGAACTGGGCTGGAGAGAATTGCTGCGGCCTGTGTGAAGATGGCTCTTTTTAGTTTTGTAGTGACCCTCTTGTCCTTAAGGGCTGAATTATTTGAACAGGTGCTTCAGCTTTGCTGCTTATTTACAAAGTCCTAAATCTCATGGTGCCTGTTTGGGAAAGGCATTGTCAGATGTTTTGGATGAGATTGGTTCTGATTTTGTATCCCCTGGGTGCAGTGAAAGGCAGAATACAAGTTTGGGCCAGAATAATTCTGATCTGGCAGCCTTTTTGGTTACAGCTGTTCTTTGCTATGTTTCCTATACAGGTAGTCCTCGACTTACAGCAGTTCATGTAGTGACCGTTAGAAGTTGCAGTGCCACTGAAAATAGTGACTTACGACCCCTTTTCACACTTGTGACCATTGCAGCATCTCAGGGGTCACGTTATTTAAATTTGGATGCTCAATAACTGACTCATTTATGAGGTTGCAGTGTTCAGGAGTCCTTTTGCGACCTTCTGACGAGCAGAGTTAGTGGAGAGCCCAGATTCATTTAACAACCACATTACTAATTTAACAACTGCAGTGATTCACTTAACAAATGTGGCAAGAAAAGTCATAAAATGGGACAAGTTTGCTTAACAAATTTTTCACTTAACATACATTTTGAGCTTAATTGTAGTCATAAGTTGAATATCTGTAATTGTTTTAAAAATATGAGAGCTCCGTTAGGTGAATGGTCAGGTCCATTGTTCGTATTGGTTAGGTTGGCAGCATGATTGGGGACCTGAGAATTAGCTATGAAGAAGATAGCTTTTTAAAAATTATTTTCATATATTTAATGTACAACACTTTGTGTAAATTTGTTACAAAGGAGATAAGATCACCAAAAAGCTTGCACTTTAGCTTACTGAATTTGGAAGGGAGCGCAGCTGATTTCAGTGGGAGATATTTCTCAGTTTCAGTGTTCTGGAAAGTGATGTCACTGTATTGTTTTTAATTCTACCTGCCATCATTTCTTTTTGTTTATGCAGTTGTGATGTTTCTATTTTAGAAAGACTGGGTGGGATCTGGCATGTTTTAATGTTTATGCAGAAAACTAAAAACTGTTGACTTTTATTAGAGCCATTTATACAGGTCTGACTTAACAATGGCTCCTTGGAAGAATATTTCTACAAATTCCAAAAAATTGTAGGGTTATAAAGTCTTGTCCATGTAAGTTTTACTTCACTAAATGAGACTTTGTTTCAAATAACTGCATGGATTGCAGCTTAAACCAGTTGCTGATATTTATCAACTATACAGTGTAGGCTTGCTTTTAACAGGTGTTTTTGCTGCTGATTTTCCTCTATTTTGTGCCAAGTTCTCTACAAGTTCAACCATGTTTTAGCCTACTGATTTTTTATTTTAAGTTTGCAATTTTTTTGGAAAAAGTATTTTGGACTTGTTTTGTATTATACTTATTACAATAATTAGATACAATTTTGTAATAATGTCAGATTTCAATTATTTGCTCCAGTATTTTAGTTGGAAGAGTAACAAAGCTTTTATTACTGAATATCTATGTATTTTAAAGATTCACTTCCTATGAATATTACAATGAAAAGCATTTAGTCTGTGTTCCTGTCTGCTTCATTGCTATGAATGAAGTGCAGATTGTTTAACTATATGGATTGACCTGATGATGTAGTTTAACTGTTGAAACATATGGGGATTGTCGCATCTATGTCACCTCTGAGATGGAACTCCTCAATAGGAAGTTGAAGAATACTGATTTTTGAAGTTTCCAGAAATTCTGAAGATTCCTAAAAAATTAGTACACTTTGCCTGAAATACAACTATTTACCATAGTTCATGTTCTGATTGTACGTAGGTTGAGAATATTTAATATTATTCTTTGCTACATGAAAAGGTTGTTTTAAAATTAATATCATTTACTGTTCATAGTATGAAAATGCATCCTTTAGGGCAGTTGTAGTTTTCAGTTTCAAACATACGATATAAGAGTGACAGTGATTGTGTTGTTGGAAAGTAGAGAAACTATGAATACCTGAATTCTTAAAAATTAGATAGTGATGCTGGTATGTATCTGGTTATATCCATAGTAAACACTTAATTATGTTTAACTGTCATAGCATGCATTATTTTTGGAATTGTATGTTTAAGAAAGCAGTTGAATTCAATGATTTTTTAAAAAAAAAATGTTCCTGAAAAGATAGTTAATCCATTTATTGGATTGTAATTCTAGCAAATTAGCAAGTACAGTAAGTTGAACTTTTTTCATGTTCTTTGTTTATATCTAGTTCAAGTTTGGACCCAGGTTTTTAAAAAAATACATTGGCTTAATTTAAGAAGGCACTGTAATTTAGACTTAGCAAAATTATATTTTTAAAGGTATTGAACAGGGTATCCATTATCCCTTGCACCCTGTTTCCCCCAAAATAAGCCCTCCCCAGATAATAAGCCCAATTGGGCTTTTGAGCTGTTGTGCTAAAATAAGCCCTCCCCTGAAAATAAGCCCTCCCTGAAAATATTGCAACACAGCAGCAGCCATGAAGTGACTACGCTCACCACCACCTGCACCTCAAAAATAATAACACTGCCCCAAAAATAAGGCCAAGCACTTACTTTGGGGGGCAAAAGAAAATAGGACCCTGCCTTATTTTCGGGGAAACACAGTATTCAGTTTAATTGCAGAAACATTAGCAGCCACTTACTAGTAAACAATTAGTTGTGATTGTAAGTCGCCCAAAGTTAGCTTATTTATTTATATCACAAATAAAGGAATAAAGAAGCTATGCATTCAGGAAAGTTGTTTGTTAAATGTATTTGAACATGGCATATTTCTTAATCCCCCTAACATAGCACAAGAAAAAATATGAAGTTTTATGAGTCTGTCAGGCTTAATGGTTAATTTAAAAAATCTTAGTTAACCTGCATTCATATGATATCAAAAATGTTAGGAAATATTTCAGATAAAGCTTTAAATACTTAGGAGTATATGTATCCAAACAATTTTTAAATCAAGATAAGTATTACTTTATTAGCATGGATTATTTTATGTACAGTAAATAATACAAAAATCTGATTTTGTACCAATGTAAAACTGAAATAATAATTAGATTAATTATTAAGGAAGATAGTACCAGATTTAGCTAATGGCTATCTTTGGAATTTGGAGAAATTAATTTTTACTTACTCACCTCAATTTAAAAACATGCTTTCTAGTTACAAATAAAAATAAGGAACTTTATTTTTCTGTTGAAGGTAGAATGGGAGATGTAAATCCTGAATAATTAATATGG